AGTTAGATTGAAGGATATTACACACCGACAATCATAAAAGTCTTGACCAATGGATATTACACACCATGATCGAAAACAAATTTGAGAATCACTCTCAAGGTTTCCAAAAATATAAACTCACTCATATTTTATTTCATTCAGATTACAACTTATTTATAAGACAACAAAACTTGCTCACAAAGCTAGATATTTATTACATTGGAAATGATAAAATCAGTGCATGGAGGAGAGAGAGAGTTCTTGAAACAAGCATTCCTTGCATGCAAGAGAGAGAAGCTTTCCATGCAATTTAATTTCTGATTTTCGTCATTCTTCTTGGACAGCAAATAAACTACTTGTTTATGAATCTTCTTGGACTTGAAACTTCATAAAAATGGGCTGGACATGTTAGATAACATCATGGGCTAATTTCTGAATGTCTACCATGTCAACAGCTTCATAAATCAGCCCAATATCACATCAAGACTTAAGATTATTAACCAAGAGACTTAAGAGATTAGAGAACAAGACTTAGATTGATGAAGGAGGAGGGGAAATTCTCTCTAAATCTTTGTTCAGCTTAAATCCTTAAGTGACTCGCGGAAAACCCGTAAATGACGCTGGTAGTGATGTCAATACATTGACGTACCACAAGTCAAGGATCGCAAAACGGCTTGATGACACCACTCTCAATCATTTCGAGAAAAATTAGATAAGTTTGGATAGAAAGGTAAATTTTAATTCACCAACTACCGAGCTCGGATGGAAGTTTTCCCGGGATATGTTCTAATTTGAGAGGCTGGTTTCAATTCTTGACCCTCATTCTTATTTGATCTCTCCGTTAAACTAATAACCATAAAGTAAAAAAACCGTATTGATGACATCTTTTAAATAAATAAGTTACCAGCTTTAATATATTTCCTCTTTCATATTTTGATGGTATATATATAAGAGAACTAACATTAGTGTTTCAAAAAAAAAGAACTAACATTAATTATCTTCAATTATATGATCAAATATGGTTTTGCTGAATTTGGTTTTATATCCGATATTTTTGTTACGACTTTACTTTGAGTTGTGCTGAGAAGTCATCAAATGTGCAGAAGGAAAATCAGCCTGCTACCGAAGTAGAATTCCTCCGCCAAATAAGGATTATGATATAAATGACCTTTCTGCCCTAGACCTCCATAGATATCACGAAAATATTTTTTACCTATTAATATAATTGTATATGGTTCTAAATCTAATCACGTGAACTGGTTCTTGCGGTGAAGCAGATATTTCCGTGGTAATCATCTATGTGGATTTGGCACAGGGAAAATCTTGAGAGCCAAATTTTCAGTTGATAGCTTAACATGGATTACGAAACACTGATTGAATTTGGTACGTATGCCCCGGGCAATCGTCCCTTAGTGTAATCGGGTAAGAAGTAATCTCTAAGTAACAATTAATGAGCAATCAACAAAATGGTGTTTGAATAAATCCATATGTTTCTTGAGTCTACTTCATACATCTTTAATATATGAACCGGTATTCACTTCTTGTCGAGGGTCTACTTCAAACAGTCTTAAATCACCTACACCTTTTCCTACGAGTGTCATATTTGCGAAATGCGTTCTGAATCTTCATCGCTGCGATTATACTCTTAGCCTCTTCTTCCTTATTAGCAAACTGGATCACTTTTGACCGTGCAGCCTTCAACGCCTTCTCCCTAAACGCTCCCTGAGTTTAGCGATGTTTTATTCTTGTTTTAATTAAACTATTATATAACATGGTTAATGTTAAAACCGAAATCCTGAAGAGGGATTGCGGGAGAGTAACATGGTCTTGAGAACATAAATATATACGGGATGACTTAAGAAATGATTAAAAAATAGTTCACGTTCAGTGCATGAAAGTATCTTAACCAGTTGGTTTCCTATTTGGCCGAGAAGGACTTATGTTTGTAGGTGGCAAAAGATAATTTCTGGGTTGGTTCGGCCAAGACGGCGAGCTGGCCGAACCAACCCAGCTCGCAGCCTTGGCAAGCTGGTCGGCCTTTTTCCTCACCCTCGAGGCACTGACTTTGCCCCGAGGGTCCGCACCATCCAACCGCAAGTATATAAACTTTGTGCATAAAAACCTTGCATTACTAGTGATTTATCCAGCCAAGGAGTGTGCAATCAACATTCAGTGACATGTTTGTTTAGTGGAACACAACCAGATAAGTCAACATATACACTTAAAAATATTTTCGGATACAAACCAGGCTCGTTTTTTATGTTTTGATAATAGATAAAACCAGGACTATCAGCCACATATTTTTAAGTGTTTTCTTACACGAAAATATATATCTCTCAATAAATTTGGCCTTTGATTTTTATTAAGTGTCTGACAAAGCCATGGGAGATCAGCGACAAAGCCTTCATTCTGAATCATAAACGCATTCCGGATTTTTTGTTTTGCTAAAGGATTAAATTTTTCCGTCTTTTGTTATCGAGCTGCGACTCGATTAGGTTTAAGGTTTTTATGTTGATAACTCGCTAACAGCCCTGCGGCCAAAGCCTTTGTAAACCCTATTAATGATCGGAACGCCCTTACACGAAATCGAAATAAGATCTACTTTTTCTTTAAATTCGTTTTATTACGTTTTTCATATTTTTCCGCATTTATTAGGCTACTTGTTGTTGGCTCTCGCAGAGATCCGGTTCCTCTGGAAAGTTAGGGTTTTCCAAAGTTTCCTTATTTAACGGAAATCGACAAGTGTGAATTTTGGTTCCCACATTGTATTCGGCCGCACAGCCAAGGTCGTATTTGGTAGAGGATTAGACCACAACACTTTCGTGCTATCGATAAGGTCGAGTCGGTTTGTAAACTTGGCATTGAAGTGAAGCGTGATCGGACAATAGCCACGTAGCGTTTGTCGAGCTTGATATGCAATTATGCCCGTGGTTACAGAAAACGTTTTTTCCGTTGTAGGTTTGATTTATACGACGAAAGTTTCGTATAATCTTTTCTTTTTATGGAAGTTGTTTCTTTTATTTTTTTACTCAAGGGAGACAGAGCTTAAGAAGCTTGATGCAGAGCTCATGTGGAGTCGCTTGCGGGGCGGTTTNGCGTTTGTCGAGCTTGATATGCAATTATGCCCGTGGTTACAGAAAACGTTTTTTCCGTTGTAGGTTTGATTTATACGACGAAAGTTTCGTATAATCTTTTCTTTTTATGGAAGTTGTTTCTTTTATTTTTTTACTCAAGGGAGACAGAGCTTAAGAAGCTTGATGCAGAGCTCATGTGGAGTCGCTTGCGGGGCGGTTTACAGAAATGTCAATATAATGTCACATACATTATAGAGGATTTCCATGGGTCGGAAAACAATGCTGGAACTGAGTACAAAGAAAGATATGTACAACCTCAGTCTCTGATGAGTCAGAATAGAAAATTACATTTAATTTTTTGTCAAATAAAAAATCATTACAGCTATCTGATAATTGTTGGCTTTTGATATTTGGCGGGCGGTAATGCCAGTAACAATAAATAGCAAAATATCTTCCTATATTTATAGACTAGTTAATAAGCTCGATCTAAGATTCTATACTTCAAGAATCATAAATGCTGGTCATATACAAAAAGTGACTATTGGATAAAGCGATTGAGTGGTGTTGCTTGGTACGATTTGAGAATCATTTTATAAAACTTTGGGCGGTTGCTTAGAATCTTAACAGAATGAATTTGTGTTTATTCTGAAAAATGATTCACTCGTTTTATCAAAATTCTCTCTAAACTTGTGAATCCTTTGTTCATCTTATGAACATCGATTGCTAAGGAGTTCATTCTCTATAAGCTTTGTTTGACTCATCGTGGGAGCTCAAATCTACATCAGTCTACTTCGGTCCCGTCCCGTTACTAAAGTAAAATATAGTAGGGAAGCTGTCATCCTTATTATAGCCAATGAGCTTACCTATGGTCCTAAATTTAATGAAATCATCTAAATACTTTGTCCGGAAATGGACCAGACCACATCAGTCTACTTCAGTCCCAAGACCAGGCGGCCAGCAGCTTGTCATTATCCACACATCCAGTCCCTTGTATTTATCCATATGTTGTAGTTATCCTAATCATTATAGGATTAGGATAATCATCCCCTTTATTGTTGTAATTCTTATCTCCTAAGGAATATGCTTTATTCTCTTGTATATATATGTATGGTTGTAACCACGTGATTAATAAGATATACAGAGTTACAACAACCTTCTTTATTCCACAACATATGGATAAATACAAGGGACTGGATGTGTGGATAATGACAAGCTGCTGGCCGCCTACCAGAGGGAGGATTACTAGCAGCATAAGACTAAACTTGGTGAATTATGGACTCATCATTAATATATTTTCTCATCATTAATATATTTTCAGGAATTTGTTCAAATCACGTTTCACTCCAGAACCCGGTGAACTCCTTAGCAATCAATGGTCTTGTAAAATTTTGCATGAACTCCTTAGCAATCAATGGTCTCAAGATATTTAGATGTATATTTCCATGGACCTACTTTCAGGTCTAAGCTCGTGCTTGGACCTGAAAGTAGACTCAAGAAACATAACCTCCGTTACGCAAGTTCGCCGGTTTCAGGTACTTTTGTCCCTCTTCAATGAGCCGTGACTGCGGGATTGATGTATGAAAATCCGTATTATAGATGAGTCAAAAGAATTCTAGAATACAAGCTGAAGATAAAGGAGAACTCTAGCTCACCGAACGTAAAGTTGTAATGTCGGGACCTGACTTTTGAGTTGTATACAACGCGATGTACACATGGGTTAGTCAAGCTTTATCCCACTCACATTCTTTGCATAGGTTATCGATAAATGTAACTTGTTGTAGTCAGTTAGTGAATATACGTTACCCGATCAGCAAAAAGGTTCTTCCGGTTTCTATTTCTGAATAAAGCCAGCTGAAATTCTTCCTACAACATCACACTTTAAACCCTAAGCCATATACAAATGCAAAGTAGGGAGCTCTCTTTGGAATAATATTTGAGTGAAAAGGATGATAAGAAATAATAAAATAAAAAACCTTATGAATAAGATCGTCGACGATAATTGAGTTGCTTAGCTTCTTGAACAGTTCATACAAAGCCTCCACTTCTTCTACAGTAACTATTGTCCTCACAAATATCAAATAGAATAAAGTTATATTGCTACATATCCCTTACAATATTGAAGAGGATAATAGTATATAATAAGATCAAAAACTAAAAACTAACATGGCGTAACAGAGGCAAGAAGATCAGGCTCCTCATATCCTGGTGGTCGTTTTGCATTCTTCTTCTTCGACAGAGAGCAACCCATGCAAACACACCTTTGTTTAACGGTTATTAGTCTTTTGCGTTACACATAAAAAATTTGGATTAGAAATGTTCTGGTTGTTCCTAATTATATAGTGAATAAATAATATATTTTGGTCGTTAGTTTTACAATAACGTCCAAGAATAAACCAAGTATAACCGAGTGCAATTATCTACAAGATACGCGTTCTGATACGTTTTCAACCTGGCCATCTCGACTAAAATATAATCCGAGCCAAGTTTGTATGCATCTTATACATGTATAAAAGGTTATGCATCAGGCCATATAAGTGAGCATAGATATTCCCATCTCAGATTGATAAGGGTCATGGATCAGACATAAACAATCTTAAGAGATTTAAACCACCACAAGAAAAATGTGCCATATAAGATGGAACCTCAAATGAGGATTGAGGATTGGGAATGGGAATATATGTTGGATATTTACAAAGTCTTTCTCTAAATAAACCTTGAGCCAAATATGGGTGATTAGAATTTGGCCAAGTACATGGATTACATAAGGAAGTAAATCCAACTATCCAACATGGAAATGGGAAAGATATAAGCTGGATAAAACAATGGTATTAACCATCAGTGTCTTGGCAAGATCCTCGGACTAGAATATAAGATTCTGGACGTCCATATGGTATCAAGGAATGATACAATGCTAGCAAAACTATATGCAAGACACATAGACCCAGGAATGAATGACTATGTCATACCAGCTTATGCACCACGAGTTTAATGTCCTAGTAGAGACATAATCAAGTTGCTATAAAGTCTAAAAAGGTAGACCAATAAGTTCCAAAAGAAGGAAACCTCGGAAAGGATATGAAAGGTGCATAGAATCCGAGTTCTAAAGGAAACTAACCAGACATAGAGGGAAAACCTGGCCAGGTGAACATCTAAGGTACCAGACCATGTAAGCTTGGGACGCCAAGATTACAAGGCAGGAAAGGTCCTGGATAAATAAGATCTAAAATGGATTAGATCATGTCTGAGTAAAATGGAACCATATATATATATAAGAGTGTTAACACCAGTGGTATAAGAAGACTTATATAAGCAAATAGCACTTGAGATTTATGGAAATGGAAATGAGGATCATGAACCCATGAAAGAGTACTCATAGATCTTAATCATAAAGATAAAGAATCATGNATGAGGATCATGAACCCATGAAAGAGTACTCATAGATCTTAATCATAAAGATAAAGAATCATGGGGTTCAGAGTATATAAAAGTATGATGGTTGTATTGGCCATGTGGAACACCATCAAACCAGTAAGGTCTTGTGGGTATATGAATCCCTGAGGAAAAGGTTAAAATGAACTCAGGGTATTCATGTTCTTACACGAGATATAGGAACATATTATGAGAGGATAAACTCCTAAATGGTGGGTGCTACTAGTCAAATTCGGAATTGACAAAATGTCTGGTCATAAGTTGACATATAATGAGGTAGTAAGTAGCATATGGTTCACTGGATTAATGGTTAAAGAAAAACCATGAAAATGAGAAAGGAAATTCTCAAGAACAGCATTGTTCCTAGGCTGTTCATGGACTGAAATGATGCAGCTGGAGCTAATATGGAATACTAAGAAAATACTTAGTACAATCAGTCCATGTGTATTATACAAAAGGTGTATAGTAAACTAATCCATAGAAAGGATGGATGGTTCAATGACTATGTCATTGGTATAAGTGTTGAGATCAGCACTACCACACTTCATAAGAAGTGGGCGTATGGAAAGGCTAAGGAAGCCGTATGGTCCATACCAAAGTTCATACCGACCAAGGCTAAGGTCCGGGTACATTCTAAGTCCAAATCATCCATGGTGTGATGACCAATATGTTGGTTCAAAACGTGGTTATGACCTAGAGGTACTAAACTATCAAGGTGCATAGTTTAAAGGTCTTAAGGAACCAATGTAGTATAAACTATACCTATACATCACCACACATGAGTCATGTTGTTAAGGCAATATTAGGTTATGATATAACCACTCATTGGCGAGTTGTTGACATGTGTGGGTAAGGTCCATGACCATAATGTACTTTGGTACGTTGCTTAATATAAGAAGGTCATGGGACACCATCAAAGGAAGTATGGTATGTGATGTTTAAGTACAAAGGTTATAGTGTGGGACTTGAATGAAGGCACGACCATTAGGCTAGTACTAATGGATTAAAGAAAACTATAAGAGTCCAAAAGAGTGACCAAAAGTAGGCATGGTTAAGTCCTAATAGATATGGTATTGCTAAAGGCAAGAAAGGTCGATAAGTCATGTATAAGGTCCATAAGCATTTGCTGCAGATCCATGGTTTGATGTGATCATAATATCCATTGCAGCAACTGGTGAGGTAACTCATAAGGTTATGGACGTGATAGTTAAGGTCTATTACATAAACATGAACTTACCAAAGGATAGGAAAGAATATCGACCATAATGGACAAGACCATTAGCACATACAATTGGTGTATGACCAAATGGACTAGGAGTGTCCATGAGAACCTAAGGATGGTTCATATATGTTTTGGTCTATGACTCTATATAGGATGCCCACGAAATGGCTATGCCATATGATCAGTGGATCCGTGGGACATAAGAGGACACAAGATGGGCCTGCAAACAATGGTTGTATGCAGATCATAAGTCCATCCAAGTACTGGTCAAGTACCATCCGACCAGGAGACCAGTCCGACAAGGAAATCAGTCCAACCAGGACGTAGAATGGTCAGTTGCATGAGAGGCACGACATGACCATGTCTTAATGGAGTTCCAGAAGACATTAAGAGACACTAGAAGTTCCAAGATGATCACACGTCAGTGGTGTATTCATCAGGGGGAGTTTCATGTGTTGTACTCTTTTGTCCTGTCCTTGGTTTTCCCTTTTTACCACATTGGGTTTTGGGTTTTACCAGGAGA